CACTTACCTCTGTTATGGATTGTGGCAGAGGTATGTGTTTTGAATGCCTCTTCATATGCAGATGTTATGTATTTCGTATCTGGAGAATGTGTTCTTCTCAGCTCAAAGCAGTGTTATATTTTCTGGTTCGTTTTTGTGGTTCTTAATTGTTTGATTTTATGTCCATGGTACTTACGAGGGTCCCATGCTTTTGTATACAAATGAGGGGAAAGAGAGGGACCATAGTGTTTCCATTGTATTGCCATATCTTCTTGATTTCAAATCAGTGTCTGAAATTAGAAACGAGATTATTAAGAGCTTTTATGTTTGGAAGCTGAGACCCCAGGCTGCGGAGAAATAGCGCAGCTGTTCTCCTTGGCAACAAGAACTGTTCTGGGCACTCTGTTTGAGATACACCTGGGGCTGCAGGTGTGCTGTCTGCATCCCAGTCCTGTCCTGCAAACCTTCAGTGCAACGTCTACTGGTCTCTTTCCCCCTACCATAATGGGAATCGGTTCGATTTGCTTCTTTGTGTCATGGGTCTGCATTTTTAAGAAAAGGGGTGGTTAGAACAAATGATGACTTTAAAGTATCTTTCAAATGTGGCATTTTTAGTAGTTGTTAATTATTGCTCACAAGAATGCAGGTGGTTGAGAGAACTTCTGTTATCTTTTCCTGCAGGCGGACTTAAATTGCAACATTCAAGATGATACAGGAGCATTCTATGGTGTAACTAGTCAGTATGAAAGCTCAGAAAACATGACAATCACCTGTTCCACCAAAGTCTGCTCATTTGGAAAGCAAGTAGTAGAAAAAGTAGAGGTAGGATTTTCAAACTTGCTGTTCGGAGTTTTTGTTTGTTCGTTTTGCTAATGAATAAGGCTTTTCTGGTTAGTAATGACTGAGGTGCATGGGGTGTAATTCTTTATACTGATGCTATTTCACAATTTCCTTTAAAGTGTTTTCTCTCTCTCTCGTTTATGCTTAATTTGAAATCATGAGCATAATACTGATAATACAGCATAATACATACTACAAAATAAAATAAACACTGACAAGCTAAATTACCCTCCTCCTCCCAAATAAGGTCTATGTATTGTAGTCTTGTGATCACTGGGTGCGGAAAACCTCCTCTCTCAGGTACCAGTTTGGTGTAGTGGTTAAGTGCGCGGACTCTAATCTGGGAGAACTGGGTTTGATTCTCCACTCCTCCACTTGCACCTGCTGATGTGACCTTGGGCCAGTCACAAGCTCTGGCACAGCTGTCCCTGAAAGAGCAGTTTCTGTCAGAGTTCTCTCAGCCGCACCCACCTCATAGGGTGTCTGTTGTGGGGAGGGGAAGGGAAAGGAGTTTGTAAGCTGCTCTGAGACTCCAAGTGAAGGGTGGGATATAAATCCAATCTCTTCTCCTCCTCCTCCTCCTCCTCCTCCTCCCTTGAATCCCAGAAAGCATCATAAGACTTCATTTATACCCTCACCTTTTCCCCCAGTGGGGAGCTAAAGCAACTTACACTGTTTTCCTCTCTTCCATTTTATCCTTGCAACAGCTCTTTGAGGTTTGTTAGCCTGAGAGTGTGACTAGCCCAAGGTCACTCTGCCATAGCAAAGTGGGGATGCAAATCTGGGTCTCCCAGTTCCTAGTCCAACCACTACCCAATGATGGCTTTCATGTCCCAGTGAGATCAGGTCATCACAGGTGGGTTTGGTTTCCTTACTGTGCTCTGCCCTAGTACTGATACTTCATCCATGATGCAAACCAAGGTTCTAGCTACTTTGATCAGAGACCTCATCTTAGTAGTAAATGGTGCAGAAGTGGGGGGAAAATAAGTATTGAGTGTAGTTGTAGTAATTTAAAATGGTGGGTGTGAACATTATGGTCATAGAGTACAGATTTAAGCAAAGCCCTTTGAAACAATGGGATAGTTGTGCACTTACCTCTGTTATGGATTGTGGCAGAGGTATGTGTTTTGAATGCCTCTTCATATGCAGATGTTATGTATTTCGTATCTGGAGAATGTGTTCTTCTCAGCTCAAAGCAGTGTTATATTTTCTGGTTCGTTTTTGTGGATTTTAATTGTTTGATTTTATGTCCATGGTACTTACAAGGGTCCCATTCTTTTGTATACAAATGAGGGGAAAGAGAGGGACCATAGTGTTTCCATTGTATTGCCATATCTTCTTGATTTCAAATCAGTGTCTGAAATTAGAAACGAGATTATTAAGAGCTTTTATATTTGGAAGCTGAGACCCCAGGCTGTGGAGAAATAGCGCAGCTGTTCTCCTTGGCAACAAGAACTGTTCTGGGCACTCTGTTTGAGATACACCTGGGGCTGCAGGTGTGCTGTCTGCATCCCAGTCCTGTCCTGCAAACCCTCAGTGCAACGTCTACTGGTCTCTTTCCCCCTACCATAATGGGAATCGGTCCGATTTGCTTCTTTGTGTCATGGGTCTGCATTTTTAAGAAAAGGGGTGGTTAGAACAAATGATGACTTTAAAGTATCTTTCAAATGTGGCATTTTTAGTAGTTGTTAATTATTGCTCACAAGAATGCAGGTGGTTGAGAGAACTTCTGTTATCTTTTCCTGCAGGCGGACTTAAATTGCAACATTCAAGATGATACAGGAGCATTCTATGGTGTAACTAGTCAGTATGAAAGCTCAGAAAACATGACAATCACCTGTTCCACCAAAGTCTGCTCATTTGGAAAGCAAGTAGTAGAAAAAGTAGAGGTAGGATTTTCAAACTTGCTGTTCGGAGTTTTTGTTTGTTCGTTTTGCTAATGAATAAGACTTTTCTGGTTAGTAATGACTGAGGTGCATGGGGTGTAATTCTTTATACTGATGCTATTTCACAATTTCCTTTAAAGTGTTTTTTCTCTCTCTCGTTTATGCTTAATTTGAAATCATGAGCATAATACTGATAATACAGCATAATACATACTACGGATGTACGTGATCCCTTTTTGTGTGTTGACACTTAAGAACATAATAACATAAGAACTTAAGAGATGCCAATGTTGGATCAGGCCAAAGGTACTGATAATACAGCATAATACATACTACAGATGTACATGATCCCTTTTTGTGTGTTGACTCTTAAGTATTTGGGTACTTTTTTGGAGGGTCATGAGGAGATTTTGGCTTGGACCCTCCTAATATTTTGTGAAATGTTCCATCGTTGTGTGATTGGTCCCATGCCCATGGCATCCATTTTGTTATGGGCCCTACTGCCCTTTCTCAAATTTCCAAAACTGCTCACAAACTCAACAAGCTGGGGACCTATGGTTTAAGCCCTCTTTGGCCATGATAGAACTGACCATTCTGGCTTCAGGAGAGAAGCGTTCTGTTTCCACAGAAGTTTCATGGGAGCTTCTTTCTACTTAACATTCATTTCTCCAGTTCTTAGATTATATCAATTTTGGATGCTATTTGATGACTCCACTTTTTGCCTAGCTGTCGAATAAAGGATAATCTCCAAAAAGAGGTTGCTTATGCCACCCTCTTAATCATAGTAAAAGGACGGAAGGGGATATTGCTTCTCTTCATTCATCAGTCCCTACTCAATGTAAAGACTAGGAATGCCCATGTGCAGTTGTTCCCCCCCAGACCGCCAGCTCTGCTGTGTATATCAGAGCATAGCATTTGTCCTCTTTTCTGGGAAATGTATGTCTTAACTACAAATTAAATTTAATTGGTTCAATTCAGTATTTTCATTAAATAGTCTTAAAGGTATATAGCACTATTGTCATTTCTTTCATGGAGTTAATCGATAGATCTCTTTAAAAACAAAATTTAAAAAAATCTTTAATCCATTTACACATCTAATTTCATTATAATTCTGGACTTTTCTCTTTGTTTTTCCCCTTAGACTGAATATGCACGGTTTGAGAATGGCCGGTTTGTGTATAGAATAAACCGTTCTCCAATGTGTGAATATATGATCAACTTCATCCACAAGCTCAAGCATTTGCCAGAGAAATATATGATGAACAGTGTGTTGGAAAACTTTACTATTTTGTTGGTAATGCCTCACTTTTACTTCTTGGTATTTTTCTGCAAACCTTTGCCTTTTTTAATGTATTTGTAAGAATCAGTGTGACGTAGTGGTTAAGAGTATTGGGCTAGTACCAGAGGTCATTTCGGGGGGGAAGGCGGGGGATCGCAGTTCCCCCGGGTGAGGTACAGTGGGCGGGGCACATGACAAAGCCCCGCCCCCCACTTCCGGTCGCCCCGCTTCCGGCCCTCATTCAGGAGGAGGCAGGAGAAGAGGGAGGGTAAGGTGCTTCCTCCCTGCCTCTCCCCACCCCACAGAGTTGTTGTGAGGATAAAATGGAGGCAAGGAGGACTATATAAGCCACTTGGGGTCCCCATTGGGGAAATAGGTGGACTATAAATGAATTAAATAAATAACAAATACCTTTATGTTAAGCAGCACATTACTTCAAAGGTGGTAGTCCCATGAACCTTTTCTTTGGGTCCTTACACTTCCACTCATACTGTTAGGGAGTATTTGTGCAATCAAGCAGCCACACAGTATGCCCTTATATACTGCTGATTTAGTTTAAGAGCTAACCACAGGTAATACGGTTTTGTGGAAACAACCAAACTACAAAATTAATGTGCAAATTAGGACTTAAGTGTAGGCATCTGGATGCATCCAGCGTGGCCATTTTTTTGCCTCCAAGTCACCCTTCTGTTTGTTTGTTCTAGATTACAGAACCTCAGTGCACAGGCTAGCAGTGGAAAAGGATTGGAAACTAGTATAGCAAGTAATAAATAACAAGCCGGGGACCCACCCTTCATGCAGCCCCCTCTCTGTTGGAAGCCTTTTCTCCCTGTTTTTCACTCCCTCTGTCTTAATAGCTTCTTTACCCCAGTCCCATTTTTTTCATCCCTCCAGCCTCTCTGTCACTTTCTTCCAAGCTGCAGTCAGGCAGGAGTTGACTATGTCCCGGTTCTACTGCCTCAGTTGCTAGGCAGCGTCCATGGTGATCTTGTGTGCTTTTGCGAGATCTCAGTGGGCATTTTTTATTTTGGTGGAAATTATCATTTCCCCCATATTTTAAAAATCTTTTTGTACTTTTCTACACCTTTTTGTACTTTTAAACACTCTTTAGCACAGTTCAGTATTTGATATTCTGATACTTACTATAGCGTTTACAGTACTAGAGGGGAGCAGTTTTTTCACGCCCTGTTTGAACTCTTCAATGAGTTGGAATGCTAGTTGAGTTTCCAGATGAAGTCACAGTGAGGATGAGATGAAGCCATAGTGGTAGGAAGGGGGTAGGCTTGCCAAGTCCCCCCGGGGGGCGGATCGGGCCCTGGGGGAACCCCACCCCCAAAGCACGCGACGTGCACGTTGCCCAGAGGTGACGCGATCGCGTTGGGACGGGGCCACGGTCATCCGAGGGAAAACTCTAGTGTGCCCGGAGCAGCACTGGAGTCCCTGGTCCAGCGCCGATTCGACTTGGCAACCCTAGAAGGGGGGGATACTCATTGCCCATGCACATGCTGCTTCTCTGACTGGAAATACCTTTTCCATGCTGCTTTAAGCTCCAGGGTGTGGGAAAAAAACAGGCACAATACTTGTCAAGGTGGGCAATGTGTGCGTGTGGGGGTCTACTCATAGAAATTGTGCAAATTATCCTTTGAGAGCCAGTTCCTTTTTGTACTTTTAAACACTCTTTAGCCCGGTTCAGTATTTGATATTGTCATACTTACTATGGCGTTTACAGTACTAGAGGGGGCACATATGGTGGTGGCAGCAAGCCCTGCCCTCAGCTCTCAGCAGGCTGGCGGAGGAAGCAAAGAGAGAAGGGTTTTAAAGTTTAAACCCCTATCTCTCTAGAGTCACGCTGCAGCAGCGGCACAATCTCCCATTGTATCCTATGGCCCCATAGAATACAATGGAAAGATCATGCCGCCGCTGTGGCGCAGCTCCAGAGAGAAGGGGTTTAAACTTTAGGCTGGTCCTGCATTGGGCATGGGGTTGGACTAGATTGTCTGTATGGCCCCTTCCAACTCTATGATTCTATGAGCTGTTCTCTCAGGAGCAGTCCTCGAAAGAGCTCTCCCAGCCCAACCTACCTCACAGGGTGTCTGTTGTGGGGAAGGGAAGGTAAGGTGATTGTAAGCCGTTCTTGAGACTCCTTCGGGTAGTGAAGGGCAGGGTATAAATCCAATCTCCTCCTCCTCCTCCTCTTCTTCTTCTCCCTTCCCTAGCTCCATACCTATGGATCCAGATTTGGGTCCCCCTGTCTTGGCTTTGGGCAACGTATGTTGGTTTTTGCCAACATAAGGTTATTTCATGCCTAGGGATTCCTAGCGTATCTGGTTTTGGTCCTAGCTTCTAAAAAGTAATTGACCCTGATAAGATTCATACTTGCAGTTTGTCCCTCCTTTTTTGAGTGTACTTTTCTTCATTTCTCCTATGATATCTTCTGCTCCCCACCTGCAAATCTTCCTCCATCTCCCAAGCCTTGAAAGATGAAAAGGAAGTCAGCCCCAGCTCTGTCCAACCAAAACAATGGCAGAGCTCTCTAGTAGTTGCCTGCTTGCCCCTGTTTTCATAAGGCCAGTTGGCATTACTGTGGGGAAGAAAGACGGGGGGGAGTGTTCTGTATATAATAGCCCCCCTTCCGTATCCTCAGAATACTCGTAATTTCTCCTTTTTTGTTGTTAGGTCTGATGTCCTAGAGAGGCATGAGATTGTGTGAGAGTGAGATATTTTGTAATATTTAAACCATATTGTTTGATTTTGTGGATGTGGAAGCATCTGATAATTTTCTAACATACTGCCTTTTCCTCCCCCCCCCCCTTAATCCAAACCAGGTTGTAACAAACAGGGACACGCAAGAAACCCTACTTTGCATGGCTTGTGTATTTGAAGTTTCAAACAGCGAACACGGTGCACAGCATCACATCTACAGGCTTGTAAAGGACTGAACAGTTATTTATAGACACATTTCATTATAGCTCCGTATCGAAACACAGACTGTCAACCTCAACGCGAAGTGGCAGTTTCTCTGGCTGAGCTTTCCCCAACATTTTTCTAAACCTCATTTGAGTGTGTTCATACATTGTAGCTGTGAAATTCTGGTATAGTTGTACAAATTCTTTTTAAAACAAAGTGTTCTTCAAATTTATAAAATTACACTTCTTTGGGGGAGACTATATTTAAGGATTTCAAGGCCTTTGTGAAAGTTTTAATTTTTTGTTGTTGTTGTTGTGTTAGAAAAATATAAGACAGAGCATTTGCCATGGGAAAACTTTAACTGCGATTATAAGAATTTATGAGGTGTTTTATCTAAATTAAAAACATGTTTTTTTAAGATGAAAGTGAAATTGAAATGAATTTTAACTATGTGTAAATTAGAACACAGGTTGGTTTTTTTAGAATTATCTTCATAACTGATTACTGTGGATGTTACAGACGAATGTAATTCACTAAATTATTTTATAACTCTATTTCTGTTTGAAGCCAAAAGACAAACATAGCCTTAAGAAATGCCTGATGGGAGCAGACAGGTCCTAAACATAGACAAAAATGTATTTTTTTCCTTCCCTGTATTAAAACTAACCTTCTAATCCATTGAACGTTTCAAGCAGGTATTGCAAAGCGAGATTTTCTCCCTTTACTAATCATATCTAGTGTATTTAAAAATATATAAAGTATTGTACTAATAAGGACATTTGATTATTTAATTAAAAAGATGGCTCGTTTTGCAATAACTAGATAAATTCTGAAAAATTAGATTTATGGTGTATGTAATCTTGTGTGTGTGGTTATATTTTATATGATAATTTTTTGGGGGGGGTTGTTTTGTTTTTTCATCATGAATCAAGAAGTTGCAACACCAAAATTAGTAATGAGCAAATGTAAGGGAGATAAAAAAAAATTAAATGACTGCTGTATTACAATTATGTTGTCAGCTGAAAACCACAAAATTACTGTGGTCAAGAAGAGAATAGGTAAGCAAGCAAAAGGTTCATCTGTTTTTAATGTCTTTGGAGTGCTATAAAATCATAGAGATTGGTAGGCACAGTGACTATCTTTCAGGAGACTTGTAAATCTTGTAATCTGCCAAGATGAACACAGTCTACCAGCAGTGTATCATGGCCTGTCAAAACCTTGATAAGTCTTCTGTTTTGCCTGCCTACCTGGAAATCCAAAAATACAGTAGTTGCCAAAAACTTAGCCATCCATAACAGCTTGGACCCAATGGAGGATTTCTGCAGAGAGAAGGAATTTCCATCTGGAGATCATGATTCCTTTCCTTGCATCCCAAAATACCCCCCCCCACACACACACACACATGTAATGCTGTTTCAGGTGAAAAATACAGGCCAGTGATGGTCCAGGGGAATCAGTGGAATCTGCAAAACTTGCCCCTCTCTTCCACCCATTGAAATCTTCCATGGAATCCAAGCCAGTACATGGGAGGTAGGCTGCCTTTAACCTGAGAGCCTCACAGTTTTTGCAGGTCTGTCTTGTGAGATTTTTTAGCCCACTGCTGTGAGATCAATGGCTTACACGTGGACAAGGCCAATGCACATAGTGGGGGGTCAGGAACAATAGAATGCAGTGGATCCATTTCCTCCTCTGTCAAGTCATAATGTGTGTCTATGTGCCATAGATGTATAGACTCTGTAACCATATCCAGGAATGTTTGAAAAGTAGTATTTCCAATCATGAAGATGGAGTTGACTCGTACCCCCCCCCAGTGTGCATACCCTGTGCATACCCTGTGCATCATGGGCCCCACAGTCCAAAGCCCTTTTTGTACATTGGTCCTGTTCACGTGTATGTCATACAGTTTCAAACAATGGAGCATCAGATTGTACATTGCATTATGAAAGGATTCATTTTTTAGATTCCTCAGAACAACATGCCATTCTTCTCACTGCGCAGAAAACATTTGATGCTCTCAGTGAGGGGGTATTTGTAGGTATACAGTTTGAGTCCATTTTTAAAGCATATTTCATAAATACATGTCCTTTACCATTAATAATAACGGCTGGGCAGTTATTTAATCAGTTTGCTAGCAAACAGTAAACTGTGAGTCGTACATACAACCTAATGCAGTGCATACCTGCCTATCAGTGTTCCCTCTAAGCTGAGTTAGTGTGAGCTAGCTCACAGTTGTTTAACCTCTGGCTCACACATTTTTCTCTCCGCTCAGGAAGGAGGGCTCCAGAGCAAACGAAATCACACGGTAGCCAAATCGCTCGCTCAGAACTTTAATGCCAGTAGCTCACAAAGGAGAATTTTTGCTCACCAGACTCCGCAGCTCAGAGGGAACATTGCTGCCTATATTACTTTTGTTTCTGAGCTAAGTTTCTCTTTTTCCTTTTTGTGCACTACACACTCTCTTCTGTATGTGCCATTTTTTAAGAGCGCAATATTATTTTACCACAAGTATAACACTTAATTCACTGGTTTTGAAGTATTCGTGTATCACAATATTAAGCATAAATAAGAATCAAATATGTCTTGTTTCTCCATTTGTGCAAACTGAATTGGTCATGGCTTTTATGTATTTTAAAAGTGACAAGCATTTAGCACTACTTTATAGTTTCCATTCTAGCCAAAATAATTTTTCCAAGCCTGTACATTGGACCTTTGGAGTCTGGCATTCCTCCCTCAGATACCAAAAGTTGTATAATCTAGAAAACGTAAGGGTTAAATTATAAACTAGTAAATATTCATATACATTTCTTAATGCCCCTATAAATACACAGATACTTGGAAACATTTTCAGTGTGCAGCTTAGATTAGTCATTATGTCTCATAAAATAAGCAGGCTGTTGCTGCTTATACTTTTGCATAAAATCCTGATAATCCTTTGCACTGTGGGAAACACTGATCTTTAAGACTGAAGAGAATGCTGTGGGTATAAAAATCTTATCTGGCTTCAAATAGCCTCAAGATTTCTGTAATGTTAATGGTTAGAACAGGGCTATGGCATTTGGCTTGTGGAACACTACACAATGTGGCAGGTTGAATATAGGCTGATAACATCTGAAACTGTTTCTTTGAGGCAGAGGAGGACCCCAGCTGGTTGGGAAGGGGTAAGGAACCGGATTAGGATGCCAAGTTTAGCCAACTGAATCTTGCAGCCCTTTGGAGGGTTGAACATCTTTTGACCTGTAGATATTAAGACAGATGAACCTCTCAGTCAGTTTAACTCTGTGAACTGTAAAACTAGATGTTTGTGGCTGGGTCTCTTCATCAGTTCTTTTTTTTTACACTAAATGATGAGTTCAGTGAAAGCACTGCATCTTTCCTGTTTTAAAGTAACCCTTTATCTGAAGCACTTGGTGTTAAAAGTAGAAAACTGCTCTTTTAAAAATGTTATATTTTATGAGACTTCTGATTTTGATGGAGTTTAATTTTTTTTTAACATTCTAGAATAATTAATACACCTCAAGCCAATACCCTGAGTGTATTACAATAGCAGTCAGTTTGCAAAACTGGGTACACTTTTTGTGTTTAATACAGTTTGGGACATGATGTGTGTAATACTTGTATGGTATGAAGAGTCACAACATTTCTTGTCGTTCACTTTTGTAAGACATATGGGGAAATATTTGCCTTGTCTTTGACTTCATGTGGATGTAAATGATTCAACATCCCTCCCCTCCCCTGGTGCATGTTTCTTCTGGAAAGCCTTAAGTCTGTCAGATGTTCAGTGTGGATTGTGTAGTCCAAAAGGCTGCCTATAAACTGTGAGCTCTTTTGTAAGCTGGAAGCATCTCTCTTGTTACTGTTACTCTGTGGTAGGAACTTCTTAATTCCGAGCTGCCAAAGCATTACAATATGCGGTGCCTTAGTGCTATATTAGAAGTACATTTTAGCCTCTCATGCCACTCTTATGTAGTCTATTATTTGGTTTTCTTTTTTTCTTTTTTTTTTAAAAAAAGACCACCTAGAGAAAAGCCTTTTTTGACTACTTGGTCTAAGACACCAATAAGATATGTCACACAACCCCCACCCCACCCCCCTTTTCTACATAGGTGGAATATCTATACCAAAAGGAAATGTTATATCTCTAGAATTTTCTGCAAAAAGTGAATTGTCCGAATTATGCTGCCTTCTTAAATTCTCATGACCAAATACTTAAACCTTTGTGACTCTCTGCACTCTTGCATGCAAGTGCCTTTGGTTTTCAAATTCCAGCTTAGAAAAGTGCTGCCATAATAATGACAATTTGTAGAGACCAAAAATATTTAGAGATCACCATAATGCCTTTGGTTTATTGGAAACAGTCAAAACTAACAGGCCTCCGTTCTCAAAAGAGTACCTGTTTATAGTAGCGTGCTTTTTGCAGATCACAAGAATGCATAATGCTGGAAAACTATTCTACACGTTGTTCAGCTGTTTGTTGTTATTTCAGCGGCATTGCTGACTGGCAGTTGCTATGTTTATGACAGGAAAAGCGGTCAGTATTTCACCTTTGCCATGTCTTTCCATCCAGTCTTGCATCTGAGTAATGTGAGTCTGTATAAGTGGCAGAATTTCAGACAATGGGCAAATGCGACATTATCATTATAGTTGCTCTGAATCTGTGAAGACAATTTTCTTCTTTATTCTAAATTTTGCACTCATTTTGTTTACAAAGTTGAGCAGTTAGATGCCTAAAATTGAAAATGAAAGTGCAGAACAAAATCAACTGACCTGTGCTCTTTTAGCACCAAATTGTTAGGACTGAATAATAAATGCCATTTGAAGAGAGAAAAACAACAACCTTTGATGGCGTTATCCAGAATCTCCCTGTCGTTCTGCAGAATAGAGATCTCCTTTAGGTATTTTGTGCCATTTTAACACTGCTTGTGAATTTGGCCTTACCATTTTTTTTAATGTTTCAGAGAGACACAAGTTATTTAAAAAGCATTAAAACCAAAAGCTTGCAATTTTAGCTGTGAATACACTTTGGTTTAATGGACAAATTAAAGAATTTTATTTTAAATTAGTGTATGGCACAAAGTGATTTGTGATTATACCCCATCCCTGTTTCTTAAACATATATACAGATTGATTTTATCCTTCAAAGATCTAAATATATCTAGGTTTTCTCACACCTAATCTACTAAGGTTTTCTTGGCCTCAAAAA